GGAACAGTTTCCTTCTGGCCCCTTCCTTCCCTGTCTGGCTCCTGTGCCCTCCAGCTGGCTGTGGGACTTCAGCAGGGGCCCCTCCTCCCTGTGCTGAGAACACCTCACCCTCCTGTCCCCATCAGTGATTCCTGAGCCAGGGCCAGGCCTGACTGGCCCTGGGGGTGGGTGTGGGACAGTGCCACACGCATTGCATGACGTGGCGGACACACTGCGTGCGCGAGGAAGGGCGCTGCTGCCGTTTGCCAGGTGCATGGAGGGGGCACCCCCCACCCCCCACCCCCGCTTCTCCCCGTCCCTCCCCTGCCCGGCTAATCCTCAGGGCGTGGAGTCTTGCTCCCTGCTTACTCAGCACACCCTTCCAATCCTGCTCCAATTTGCCCTGGGAGACAGGAGAGGAATTTGGACCTCGGGGCTCCACCTCCCCTCTGTCCCCCTCCCCAGCTCTGCCTCCACCCAGAGTGCTTGTCCTGGCTGCCCCCCATTCTCTGACTCTCCACCTCTGGCAGAGGGACCCCAGGCCCTTCCTTAGTGTGTCTGAGGCCTCTGAGCTTCCCAGGGCTCCCCTGGTCAGCAGACCAAGTCCCCCACCCCCAGGAAGCCTCTGCCATTTACGGTCCAGGTGGACAGAAAGACAGAGCTGGACTTCCGGGGCCTGCAGCCACCTCCCTGGGGCCACCTCCTTGTTATCCAGAGCCCGAGCTTAGCTCTCCAGAGGTTAGTGGGTCCTGTCCAGGTGTGGCTGGGGTGGGCAAGGAGCCCCACTGCCTCTCCTTCACTGTGTGACCCTGGGAAGTCACACAGTGTCTCTGGGCCTTCGTCCTGACGGCTGGAGGATGAAATGCAGCTGTGCAGGACTGAAAATTGGGTGTGGGTGTTCCTCTGGTCACTTTTTACCCTGGCAGCCTCGACAGGGGCAGTTACTGTGCCCTCGGCTCTGATGCTGAGAGGGGACAGTGTGAGGGGCCCCAGAGAGCTCTAACGTGTCCTGTATTTATCCATGCACCTGACGTCCCCTGAGCGCCCTGCTCCTTCAGCCCAGGTGAGACACCAGCCCAGGTGAACAGGCCCAAGTCCCTGCCCTTGTTCCTGGTGACCCCAGGGACCTTGGTTAAAAGGTGGCCCTGGGACCCTTGCCTTCCAACCCAGCAACCCTCCCCAGGCAGAACAAAATATGCTGCGAGGCTCATGCCTGTGTGACAAACCTGGGACGAGCAGCAAAGAAGGCACCACGTAAGCCAGGCCTGGGCAGAGCTGGCCACAGAGGCCTAGAAGGAGTCAAGACTTGGTGGTGACAAGGGTGACAAAGGTGAAAGACTGGGGCTGGGACCCAAGCTGGAGTTGCAGGAAGGTTTCCCCAGGAAATGACCGGTGAGCACAAGGCCTTCTGGGAAGGGGGCGCAGGGCCCCTGGAGGAGCTTGGCTGGCCGGGCCGGCCCGACTTCTGGCCCTAGCCTGCTCCCCAAAGCGCCTCCCTCTGTGCCCGCTTGCCCGGAGCCCCACTAGAGCCCTCATCAGCTTCCTGCCCCCTTCCCTGGGGCTGAGGAAGCTCATCTCCAAGCACTTTTTGGCTTCTCTGTCTCAGGCTGTTGGGTGGTTGGTAAACAGCTTATTAAGGTGATTAACTCGGCAATTAAAGCTCGAACAACAGCGGCCAGGGTGCCGGCTGAAGGTCCCCCCTCCTTCCCTCCATCCCCTCTGGGCTGAGTTGATGCAACCCTGCTGCCTTGGCCAACCAGGGCCCATACCTTGGGGCTGGGAAGCTGGGCTGAGGCTGGGGTGCAGGGGTCCCCGCTCAGCTGCTCCCCATCTCTCTCCGGATCCCAGCCTCAGAGTGGTGGGTGCTCTGCCGGGTTGGAGGAAGTGGTGGTGACATGTGGGGGGGGAGCGAGTTCAGATGGGAATTGGGTGAGGTCTCTAAGGTCCCCTAGAAAAGAACCTGGGGCACCACCAGACCGGGTTGGAGACCCCTGCAGCGGGGCACCCCTGAGATGCCGGGTACTTTGACCACGACCTTTCTGCGAGCTGAGTGCCCAGGAAGGCATCCAGGGGCCTCTTCGTCTGTTCCTGTCCTCCCTTCAGCACTGGCCTGGCACGTGGAGTCCCGGGGTGAGAGTCACTCTGCCGATGAGGTCCCTGGGGAGACCGTTCCCTAGACCCTCCTCACCTTCGCCTGTTGCATTCCCTTCTTCTTTCCGGGCATAATACAGATGCTACCTCTTCTGGCCCTGGAGCTCCTAGCACAGGGTTTGTGCCTTCCTTTCCCAGGCTTTGGCCATCTGACAGATAGCAAGTGCTCAATAAATATGGGCTGATTCGTTCCAGGGCCTTCACACTGAGCTGCATCTCCAGCCCTTTTCTTATTTTACATTTTGAGACAAGGTTTCATTACATTGCTAAGTTGCCCAGGCTGGGCTTGTATTTGGGATCGTCCTGCCTCAGCCTCCCAGAATGCAGGCATGTGGAATTACAGGCCTGTGACACCAGGTCCAGCTGACTCGCTGCTTTCTGAGTGTACCTAGATATGATAGATCAACCGATGGGGTAGCAGGACTCACCAAGCGCTGGGTACTTGGTAAGCATTTCACCCTGCTTATGCAGTGTAATTCTCTCTGCAGCTTAGCTAGGTAGGTGCTTTGCAGATGAGGAAACTGAAGTTTAGAAAGGTCAAGTGACTTCCCAAAGTCACACAGCCAGCAGAGGGGTGGAGGCAGGATTCAAATCCAGGTCTGCTGACTCTGGCTCGAACATTCCCAACTACAGTGTGGAGCTTTTCGAAGACCTGCCCAGGGAGGAAACCCTGGCCTCCCCTCCAATTCTCCTCCCCTAAGAACCCAGGGAGGAGGGGGTGGAGCTTCAAGTGCTTCAGCTCTCTGTCCTCTGCCCCAGACATCTTGGGAAACTGATGCAGAAAAGCCCCCAGTAAGAGCACTTGTTCCCTGTACAGACCTGGGTTCAAATCTCACACTGTCAAATAGCTTTGGTATGTGACCTGGAAGGAACTGAGCCTCTTCCTTATTTTTCCTTCCTTCCTTTTTCTTTTTGTGCTGGACTTCAGACCCAGGGCTGCACGCTAAGCACGTGCTCTCCTTCTATGGCCTCAGTTTTCTCATCTGAAAAATGGGCCCTGTACTCACTCACCAAGCTGTTGCGTGAGGATCACATGCAAAGTGCCTGGCAGAGTAGCAGGTCAGCAAATGCCAGCTGAGCTGTCACTGAAACTTGGAGAACTGTGACCCTCGGGGCAGCCAGGGGTTCCCTAGCCTTCCCCTTTCTTCTCCAAGGTTGTCACGAGGTAGTAGGTGTTGTCAAGGAGCCCCGGTAGCAGCTGTGTCGCCCCAGCCTTGCATGCTGCCCGGCCCCCGCCCAAGCCCCTCAGCAGGGTGGTGAAGAGGGTGACCCTGGGGCCCAGAGAGGAAGAAGGAGAGGCCAGGGGTGGGGCTGACCCCCTTGGAAGAGGTCACCTGGGCAGTTAGGCCCGCCAGACAGAGCAGGGAGGAATTAGGGAGGTTGCAACACCCTTTCATCTGCCTGCCTGCCCAGCCTCCTCTCTCTTCCTCTCTTTCTGCCCTTTTTCCCTTCTCCCTCCCTTTGCTGGCAGCCCAGCCCTAATAAAATGCAGTGTCTCCAGCGAGTCTGCCCGGCTGCCGCCTCCTGCTCCTGCTGCTGCTGCACGCAGCCCTCAAACCAAACTGCTCAGCTTGCCCCGCCTGGCAGCTGCCACTTAACCCTCGCCAGCCCGCTGGCGTTCGTGGGCTGAGGCCTCCTGAGCCCTTCTGGAGGGTCTTGTGGATCCAGCCTCAGCGTGGCAGGACTGTCCACCGAGGAAGGCACTCTGCACCCTGAGGCCCTTGCCTTCTCATCCCTCCTTGGCTTGGTGCCCCCCAAGATCCTCAGACACCAGTAGGGTGAGGATTGTTATCCCATTCCACAGATGGGGACGCCAAGGGGCTGGCTGTGAGGTTCTCAGCTGGGCTGGGTCACTTTGGCTGCTGGGTGGTGTTGCTGATTCTTTAAACAAGATTTTCCACTGCAGGGAGCTGTCTTTGCATCTGCCCCTGCCTCTGCCTCTGCCTGCGTGCGTGCGTGCGTGCGTGCGTGCGTGCGTGATGCCCGAGTGACTTCAGTGTGTTTCTGTGCTTGCATGTTGCGGTCCCGGATCTCCCTGAGCGTCGTGGCTTTGACTTTGCTCCACCTGTGTGATGCTACTGTGTCTCAGCTGTGTGTCTGGGTCCTTAGAGGTCCCTGCAGATGACAACCTCCTGGCCTCAAGTGGGAGCACATGGATGGGTGACAACAGAGAGCTGTCACCCTATGTCAGACAGCGAGCTCCACAGTGTGTGCCTGTGTTCACGCTGTCCCTATCTGTGCCCAGACGTGGCCCTCCCCGCCCTCTCTCGCCCCAGCTCTGGGCGGCAGGGGGGCAAGGTCCTGAGGTCGAGCCCTCCCTGAGCAGGTGAACACAGACTTCACCTCACCCTTTTGTTCCTCTCCCAGCCTGGCGGGGTCCCCACCAGCTGTGGGAGCAGCGGGGTTTCCCCTGCCTGAGGCCCCACCCTCACCCCAAGCTGGGAGGGACAGATGGGAGTCGAGGGGCCGGGAGTGCCTGGGTGTGGAGATGGGGTTTACACGCGTGTGCAAGCATGTCTGCGTGTGAGCTCAAGATCAAAGAGCAGCCCCGAGGTGACCTGGCAGTGGCGGTGGCAGAGGGCAGCTGGCTGACAGAGAATGCCACGCTGCCGAGGGAGCAGAGCCGAGTCAGGGAGGCCACAGCTGGGAGCCTCCTGCCCGGCCCTGCCCGGCCCTGCCCAGATCAGGGCCAGCCATGGGGCCAGGGGCACCTGCCACCTGTGGCCAGCATCCCAGCAGTGAGGTCCCCCACGAGCCCTGTCTCCCCCAGCCGCTAGCCCCTGGAGCCTCAGAGGTCCCCAAGTCCCAGGCCTCCCCCCCAAGAGCTGCCTGCCACCAGCCTCCTGTTCAAAGAGCACAGTGGTTCCTTTCTTCTTTTTTATTAACATTACATATAAAGATGGGTCCAGTGAGGAAGCAGAACTGAGGCGGCCAGGAGCCTTCTGGTGGGAGCTGGCTCCATTCCTGTCCCAGGTGGGACTTGGAGACCTACCACTTCTCTCCTCGCCCCTACACCTCCCACGAAACCCAAATCCAGCCGGAGCCCACGTCCTTCTCCTCTCAACGCAAAGGGAGGATCCATCCAGGAGAAAAAGGGTCACATAAATAGGAAACCACAGGAGGGAGGAGGCCGCTTCTCTCTTGCTCTTAAAAAAAAATACATACTCTCTATATATAGCTACAGTCCTTTAGCTCTCTTTTTCTTCGATGTTTTACCACATCAGGGGTGGAGATGAGTTAGCTTTGGGGGGACGCTGGCCAGGGAGGGGCACCACCAGCAGCCCTCCTGCCAGCCACCCCTCACCCTAAGGCACTGGGTCACAGCCCTCCCCTTCCCGCCGAGCACCGCACTCACCCCGAATTCTCCAGCTCAGCAGAGCTATCTATTTCCAAGGCCACCGGAAAGGGGGTCTCGAGGCGTTTGTCTCGCCTAGCATGTCTCTGTGGAGATCTGGGCTTTGGCGCCCAACCTGCCAACTTATTGGAGAGGAGGAGGAGAGGCGGGGAGGCGGAGGAGGACTGAGCTGCCCACCAAAGGGGAGATTTAGTCCTATCTGGTAACAATGCCCTTTGTTGTCTTATTTTTCAACAGCTTTTAAAACCAAGGTTGTGCAAAGTCCTGTACATGGAGAAGAAACGGGGCCCTTAGGAGAAGCAAAGGAGATGCCCTCCCAGCAGACAGGGAAGGGGTGATGGCTTCTCTAATTCTTCCCCCAAAAGCCCCCAGATAGTGAAAGAGTCCCTCACTTGGGGCGTTTTCTTTGGTTTAACCCTCAAATCTTGAATGAGGGCTAGAAGTGCGGGGGCCGGGGTAAGGCTGACTCCCCACCCTGTGTCCAAGGCATGATGTCCAATGTCTTTTTGGCAGAAGGGCCATGCAGGAAGGGGAGGCCCCAGGTTGTTTAGGAGGAGCCCAGCGTGGCAGGGGTCAGGATCCATCGTGCCTGACGTGGCGCCCCAGCCCAGGCTCAGCTTGCAAACACTCCCAGTGTCCCTGTCCCCTGGTCTCCAGTCTGGGGAGCGGTTGGGTTTGACATGCTCGGAAGTGATGAGCCATTAAAGCAAGTCCAGGCTCCCAGAGCAGAAGGGGCACCACGGTTCCCCCTGGGGTGAATGTGCCCACATCTGGAGGGGCACCCCAGTTCTAAGCAGGGCGAGGGAGGTTCAGGGGTCAGTCTGGGTCCGTGCCAATTTCATCTGGAAATTCTTGGGTCCCTGGAGAAGGGGCAGGGGAGGGGAAAGCTGGCCTTTCTTTCCCCTGTGCTCCTCGGTGATTCCTGAGTGTTGCGAGGACGGAGGCACTTCTGCCTGGTCCCGGGTCCTTCAGCGGGGCACAGGCCGGGTGGGGCTCAGTACACAGCCCCGGGGTTGGGTGGGGGTCCCGGGGAGGCGTGGTGCAGGGTGGCTGGCTGTGGCGGCTGCTGCTGTAAGGGGGGTCCGCTCAGGTTCTGTGCATGGTACCAGGAGTTGGTGGGGTCGTCCAGGTAGCTGGGGGAGGCACTGTACGGGAGCGGCGGGGGCAGCTGGCTTCGGGCAGGGGCCGGCGTGGAGTGGGAGGAGGTGTCCCAGAGGGCTGGCGACGGCGGGGAGTTGCAGGCCATGGAGTCGCTGTTGTTGGGGCTGTGCTCCAGAGGCACCTCCCCGTTCTTATACAGCTTCTTGAACTTGGAGCGGCGGTTCTGGAACCAGATTTTCACCTGGGCCGGAGAAGAAAGGGGCAGCTGGTTAGCATTCAGGATGCGGATGGAAGCCCCACCGGAAATCCAGCATGGACCACGGACGAGGCCCTGCCAGCACCTGATGTCACCCAGTGAAAACCAGGTGAAACCAGGCTGCCACAGTCCCAGGCCAGCAACCCTTTCCACCTATCTAGAACCAAGGCCGGGCACATTTGACGGCCTGGCCCAGGTTCTGATCTGCTAGGTGTGACCTCGGGCATGCTGCTTAACCCCTGTGGTCTTGCCTTCCTCTCCTCTGCAAGATAGGGACAGGCACAGCAGTGTTACCTCATAGGGTCACTATGGGGCTCAAGTAAACTAGGACACTTGAAAAACTCAGACCGGCCCAGTATACAGCAAACACTCAGTAGCCCAATAGACCAGGTGGGAGATGGGCAGTTTGTGACATTTCATTCACGTTAGCTGCCATAAACAGAGGCGAGAAAATACACAAACACACACCCACACACACATTTCCATGCCCAGCCACGTACCCACTCACAGTTTCACACAGAGACAGCAGCATACAGAGCGCCGCACACACAGATCCACCCAGGTAAACAACGCACGGACCCACCCACGTTCACACACGCGCTCCGGCGCCAGGTCCTCTTGGGTTCAGGCTCGTAATGGGGGTGACCTGGGGATGCAGGAGCAGGTGAGCCACGGTTCCCCAAATTTCCCCTGGGGTATCTCCCCATCCCCCTGCCACTCCCCACCCCATGACTGGCACAAACAATGAATCAGCTCCTCACCGGGTGACCCAGATTCCCGGAGGACAGGGCTCCACGCAGCCGAAACCGAGGCCGGCCTGCCAACACCTGCAGCCAGCCAGGCGTCCTCACTCCTCCCCTGAGCAGGGACAGGCTGCTGGGGTGGCTGGGGCTCCCTGTCCTGACTCCTGGCAGAGGCAGGGCTGAGCTGAGCACTTGGGGTCAGAGCAAGAACGGGGTGTCTTAGCCCCAGGGTGTGTTTGGGCCAGTCCTCAAGGGTCGCATGCTCGCGTGTGCACAGACCCTGATGTGCAAGCAAACGCACATGCCCACCTGTCCCTGTGCCCAGGTACACCCTTGCATACCCACACAGCCTCGGGGAAAAGCGCAACATGGACTCCTATGATTCCAACCACACAGCTGGGGATCTCGGAAACCCGGCATGGGATCACAGCGGCACCCCCTACACACTAAAGCAGAACCTTTCCACGGAATCAGATTTGAAGTCCTCTACACTACAGGCAAGCGTTCCCGGAGCCTGCAGGGCCCGGAACGTCTCAGCTGTGCCCGGGGCCTCTGGGGTCCTGCGTGCTCTCACCGGTCCCCCAAGCCCTCGACGGCCCAGTACCAACCTGTGTCTGCGTGAGGCCCAGCTGTGCAGCCAGCTCGGCGCGCTCAGGCAGCGCCAGGTACTGGGCTTTCTGGAAGCGGCGCTGCAGGGCGGCCAGCTGGTAGCTGGAGTAGATGGTGCGCGGCTTTCGGACCTTCTTGGGCTTCCCGTTCACCATGCGCACCTCGGCTTCCGGCTCCTCCTTCACCGACACTGCAGGGACGCACGGGTGGGGGGCAGTTCAGCCTCGGCCTGCGACCCTTGCGCCCTCCGGGCCCCTCAGGACGGCGCCCCCTCCCGCGCTCCCGGCCTGCCCCGGCCCGCGCCGAGGAGGGAGCCGCGGCTACAGAGCCGGGCCGGGGGCCGCCCACGACGCGGCGCTCCCAGCCCCGCATCCGGCCCAGCAGCCTCCCGGGCGGGCGGCGAAGACCACGGTGCTGCGCCCCGACGCCCTGCGGTCGCCGCTGCTGGGGCCCCAGTCCCCCCCCCCCGGGTTGGGGGCTGCTTCTCCCCTCGCCCTCTGCAGCCCTCCCCATCCTGTCTATTTTAGAGTAGTTTTTGATTTTCAGAAAAGTCCCAGGAATACTTTTCTTTCTTTCCTTCTCCCCGTTTCTTTCCTTTCTCCTTTCGTTCCCTTTCCTTCTCTCGTTTTCTTCCTTCTTTGTCTGCCTCCTTCCTCCCTTCCTCTCCCCCGCAACTCTCGCTGTCTCCACTTTTCTTTCTCGCCTTCTCCATCTCCAGTCCCTTCCGAGCCCCCTAATTTTGCTGTCCTTCTCCTTGCACCCCCCGCTCCTCTGGGTCTCCCCAGTCCAAGTCCCGGGCAGGGCCCTGGAACCACGGGTCCCCGCGAGATGCCCGCGGTCGTGGGGCTCCCGGGAGGCCGGAGCCCGCTCCTCGCCTCGAAGCCCACCCGGGTCCTCGCTGAGCCCGTGGCTCGCAGCGCGACCCCGCGCCGGGGTCGTTCGCAGCCTCGGGACAGGGCCAGGAAGGTCGCCTTCCCGCGGGGGTCATCCGGCCGCCCCCTCCGAGCCCAGGCAGTACATTCTTGCCCCGGAGCGATCCCTAGGCTCAGCTTCAGTCCCCGCCCGCCCGTCTCGGCGCCGGGAACCTTCCCCGGCCCGCGCCCTCCCGGCGCCCGCCCTCACCTGGGTCCTGGGCGGGCAGCGGCTGCTCGCGGTAGGCGCCGTACTGCCGGTAGGAGGCCCCGTAGGTGTATTCCGACTTGGGCGAGTAGGCGCCCGTGCCCGCGAGCCCGTTGAGGTTGAACTGGTGGTGGTAGGAGTAGGGGTTCACCGTCTGCCCGTACGGCTGGCCCGAGTAGTAGTCGTGCTGCGGCGCGCTGTAGTAGCCCAGGTCGGTGACCGAAGACTCGGGCAGGGTGGGCGAATCCTTGGAGCCCGCATGGCAGCTGAGCGAGCTGGAGATGTCGGTCAGGATGCTGCTGAGCTTGCGATCGAAGGAGCCGCTCATGCTGGCGGGCGCCGCACCCCCAGGCTGGCTCGGCGAGGACGGGGGCGCGCGCGGGGAGGGCTGGCCGTGTCTCTCGGGGAGGGGGCGGCCGAGGGCGCCTAGACCATCGCCGGCCGTCGGGCGGTCGCTTCGCGTCCCAAGCCACAAATGCAGCCAGCTCCGCCCGGCCAGCCGGTTATAGACTCAATGTTGGAGTCGCAGAGGGAGGCTCCTGCGCGCTGATTGGCTGCGAGTCCTGCCTTCCAGGCAAAACATGCCTAGGCGCTCTCGCTCCCCCCATTCTTTGTTGTTACCCAAAACGAAGGCGGACACACACACACACACACACACACACACACACACACCCCACGGCTCGTTTCTCCTACAGCTCCAGCCCAGAGAGCCCCTCTGAATGAGGAGTGGGGGTGAATGCAGGCCTCCCCGAATCTGTCTGTCTGTTTCTTCTTGGCTGGGGGTGGGCTTAGAGGAGATGAGGAAGGAGGGGAATTTTCCCACTTGGGGTTTGTGGCAAGAGGTGGCCCGAAGTGATGTGTGTGTGTGTGTGTGTGTGTGTGTGTGTGTGTGTTCACTATGCTAATAACAGGCAAAGTGGTGAGGACCCAGGGTTCGTGAAATCTTAATCTCTCTTAAAATAAAGAGGAAAAGAATTTCTAGGTTGAAGAAAATGTTTGAGATATTAATATATTATCTTTAGAGTAGTGCAATCGTAAAATGATTTTTTAAAAATTGAGGACTCACCAGGCAAAAGCACTTTGGGTTTACAGAAATCCTAAGTTGACCCTGGGAGCATCCTACGGGGTTACCCTGTGTGGGTTTAGGGGCTGAGGGGAGGGGGAAGGGGATGCCTCAGCTGCCTCCAAACTGTGGGTGCACGGTTCCAGCGATGACTGTGGCCAAGGAGGGGGCAGAGACCTGGGCTCCGCAGGAGTTCTGCAGGACACGGACTGAACCTAGCTTCAGCAGTCTGAGGGCAATTCAAAGCAGAATGGGACAGCACTGGTGCCTGGCTGCGTGACGTGACGATTTCACGTGCCCACAGCGCATAGGTGGACCCACGAGCACGCGTGTGTGTGAGATGTAGCAGTGCGTGGGGCGGGGGCTCAGGCAGTGGGAGCAGAGGGCTGTGGGAGCCACGCTAGGTGTGATGCGCAGGTGTGGAGACCTCAGTTCCTTCCTAGTCCCAGCAGCTGGGAGCCACAGCGCTCCATCACGAGGGCCCTGACGATGAACGGGCTCCTTTTTCTGGGGACCCCCAACTCCTTGTCCTGCTGGCCTGCAAAACCCAGTTCGCAAGTCATCCTGGCCGTTCCCGACGCCTGGTTCATTTCTTCCTTCCATCCCACTTCTGCTCCCTGCCTGCCTTCAGAAGAGGGGGAAGCTTCTCCCAATCTCACTTCTTAGCTCGCCCCCCAACCCGCTCCTTGTTCTCCTGCCCGCGGGCCCGCCCTAGCCCGGCTGGGCCCGAGGACACGCAGTGCCAGCGCGCCACCTCGTGGTCACTTGTGGGCTCTGCAGCCTCCCCGAGCCCAGCGTCTCGCCGGGCCCGGGGGAGGGGTCTCCTGCGAAGACCCGGCCAGTTCAAGAAGCATGCGTGGGTCTCCACGTCCCTGTCCAAAACCAGAGCCTGCAGCACGAGAGCGGTAGCTGGCGGGGACAGGGTCGCCTTACGCGCCCAGGGACAGGAGCCGGTGCGCGCCGAGCCCGCGCCCTGGGGCGGCCGCCGCGTGGGAAAGGTGGGGGCGGGGGCGCGAGGGCCGCGCTATCTGTCTATCTGCGCGTCCCGCAGCGCCTATCGCCCGCCGCTCCGAGCCCGTGGCGGGGCGAGTTGCCACCCGCTCTAGATGCCGTCTGTTCTGCTGCCAAGAAGGCGCCTTGAGAGCCCGCGGCGCAGGGGCAGGGAGGGCACTGGGCAGGGGGGCGCCGCCCCTGGGGTGGCAGGGGAGGGGGCGGGGCCTGACCTGGACCCCCAGCCCCCCACGGGGAAGGGACAGCGCCGGGCAGGCCCTTCTCCGGCCCATTCATTCCTCATCTGCGCCTTGGCACTCCGCCCCCTCTGCAGCCGGGGCTCCTGAGCAAAGCAATGGGCGGGGGGGAGGTCAGGATAATTTTTAAGCGCCATTCTTCTGCGCTCTGGAAATTCTCAGATCTAGAAATGGACTAAAAGTGCAATATTAGGAGCTTCAACGAGTAATTAAACAACTGGTAACGTGGGGTTCACATCTGGTTCCTCGTGGCATACTGTGCCAAGGACTGCCTGTCCCACTCACCATTACCTTCCAGGCACCTAGGACAATGCTAAGTCGGTGTTTGTTGAGTGACTAAACTAAACGAGACTCCCTAACAGGGACCCCTGGCTGAGGCGAGGTGGGCTTGGCAGGAGACGGGACAGAGTCCTGAGCCTGTTGGAGGTGGGGGGCACAGAGGCAAAGGGAGAAAGGGCGGCGCCTGCTGATGTCCAGGTCAAGGCTCACAGCCCGTCCGGTCGCCGGCACCGAGGACAGCTGCTTGCTGGAACAAACTGTTCCCTGGAGCCCAAGTATCCAGTGGCCGCATCAACTGGGCTCCAGAGGGCCGGGCTTGAGGGCAGGAGTTCAGGACAAAGGCCAGCCTTGCCTGGGGAGCGGGCGCCATCTAGTGGTCACGGTGGAGAGGCGGTGAGACCCGAGGTCCGACCGCCACCTGCCGGGCAGGGCCATCGTTCCCGGAAGGAACAGGAGCCCAACTCCCGCTGAAAATTCACATCACATCCCTCCTGGGCTTCCCCCTGCCCTGCCCAACCACCTTCGGCCAGTGGCTCCTTCCTTGGGGTTCACATTTGTAAATCAAATAGTGGATTGTTTGATGGGCGCTGAGGTCCCCTCTCCTCTGATAGTCTCTGATGCCAAATTCTAGGCCTCCTGACTCCCAGGGGGACATCCCCTCACCTCCTTCCAGCTCCCTTGGAGAGGCGCCCCACTCCACGCCCTGTGGGGTTCCCATCCCCGTGGCAGACAGATCTTTAGGCTGCGCCATCCCCATGCTGGGTGCCTGGGATGTGAGGATCGAAACTCACACGATGCCCTCTCGTGGAGCCCAAGTTCTAGCGGGGAGTGGACACGCAGGCGAGCAGTTGCCTGAACGCTCGCCAGGGGCAGGAGGGTGTCTGAAGGATGGGTGAGACTTGACAGGAACAGCAGGGATGGGAGAAAGGAGCAGCCCCGGCCAAGGCCAGCGCCTTTGCAAAGGCTCACGGGACTCCTAGGCACAGCGGGGTGAGGAGAGGTGAGAGGGGTTCAGGGACCCAGAGTTCGAGCACCGAAGCCCGGAGTCGGAGCGCTGGCTTTATTTAGAGGCTGCGGGGAGGACAGAAAGGTCTGAGTCTTGGAGAGACGCGACTGGGTTGTCCTCTGGCAGCTCTGCAGGCGGATCACAGGGTCCGAGGTGTGGAAGGGCGCCTGCTCTGGAAGAGACTTCCGGGGGGTGCGTGGTCGGGAGGGTTGCGTCAAGGTCTGCTGGGAAGCAACGTCTTCCGCACTAAAAGCCTGGAAAGGAAGGCAAACGCCAGCTCCACTCCCAGCGGCGGAGACCAGTTTTGCCTAGTTTTGACTTTTATATAAACGGAAGTACAGAGTATATACTTCTTCGCGGTTGGCCTCCTCCTCTCCCTCTCCCCCTTCTCCTCCTCTTCCTTCCTCTGTGCTGGGAATCAGACTCAGGGCCTCATGCATGCTAAGCACCTGCTCTACCACTGAGCTACACCCCCAGCGTTGTATCTGACTTCTTTGGCTCAACATTGTGTTGTGAAATTTATCTTTGTATTTTTATTTATTTATTTTTGTCATATTGAGGGTTGAACCCAGGACCTTGGCCCTGCGCGACATCCCCAGCCCTTTAAACATTTTTTTATTTCGAGACAAGGTTTTGCTAAGACACTAAGTTGCCTGACTTGTGCTCAAACTTGCAGTCCTGCTGCCCCAGCCTCCCAGTGGGATTATGGGTGTGAACCACCATGCCAGGCTGAAATTTGTCCATGTTGTTAAGTATGTTTGTAATCACCCCCTGTCATCACTGTGAGTATCCCATGATGTGAATATCTAACCTATATTAATCTATCCTACTATCGATGGGCATATGGACAGTGTGTGTGTGTGTGCGTGCATGTGTGTGTGTATGTGTGTGTGTGTGTATTGCTGTTGAGTACCTGAGGGTGGAATTCTGTGTCACACGTGTACATATGTTTGGCTTTAGTAGCTACTGACAAATAGTTCTCCAAAGTGGTTGTGCCCTTAGTGCATTGTGATTGTGTGGAGTCTGAGTCTTGGGGCCCAGGGAGGGGCTGCCCAGCAGTCGCTCGCCACAGGTGACAGGGATGTGGAAAATCGGGAAGGAAGTTGGGATTGGAGGTGTGAACAGGGCGTGGTTGGCGTCTTGTAGTAAGTGGAGCCTCTGAGACGGGCGGGAAACACAGGGCCACTCAGGGTCCCAGCAGAGACCAGAGAGCGGCGGGCGGGGCCGGCGATGTTGCTGTGGACCGGTGGTTTGGCCGGGGCAGGACGAGGCCCGAGATGAGCCCGCTGGGCGACAGCGCCCTCTGGAGGAGGCGGTTGGTGACAGCGGGCAGCACCAGCTGGAAGGAAGCAGGAGAGACTTGGAGGAGCTGGGCTGGCCGCCCTGTCCCGTTGCGGCAGCTAGGGGGCGTCTGGTCCGCTGCAGGGGGCGGGAGCGAGCCATTCTAGCAGGAAATAGGGTAAAGGAGAGCGGCCCTCCGGGTAGGTAGGGAGGGGGCAGATGAGAGGGTGAGAACCGCCTTCCTCGTGCCAGGCTTAACTCGAAGCTTTCTACACACGTGAGTTCACTCACCACTCCGAAAAGCGGGCGCTCTCATTTCTCCCTTTTGGCAGAGGGAATCTGAGGCACAGAGAAGCTAAGAAAACGGTGGGGTCAAGATCTGAGTCCAGCAGGGCGACCAGGTTGGTGGTCAGCAGGTGAGGTGAGAAGTCAGGGTGTTTGTGACTTCCCTCTCTGTGCTTTTCTGTGTGTTCGAGACATCTTAGATAAAAAGAATTGTTCAAGCCACCTGGGGGTCCCACAAGGGTGGGCACGCAGAGCAGGTGTGGAGTTAAGAGCGGATGAAAAGGAGGGGGTAGGAGAAGGGG